CCCTGGGGAGTCGCCAGCCGACATTGGCTGGCAGATGGAATCCCGAGGAGACCCAACCCGTGCGATGTAATTGGTCTGAGAGAGGTAATCGGCAGGAGGCGGTCTCTCAACATTAAACGCTATACTCCTGTAGGAATTTTGAAACTTAGTCTCCACATATTAAAAATCAAAACAAAATTCACCCTTTTTGGAGTGCTATCGTCAGTCACTGATGTATAAATCACAAAGCATTTGAAAATATAGGTTAAAAATATACACACAAAAAAGCAACGATGATTTAATGCATCAAACTTAACTCTACCTGCCAATTTATTAGTTGTCTCTGTCTAGCCAGAGAATAAGTTTTACAACCCATTCTTAAAATATCGACAGACTCATATACTGACGTTTTTAAAGCTCAAAAACTTCACTTTGAATGGTGAATGGAAGCAATAAGTAGCCAATGTAATCAATAAAAGATTATCTTCGTTGCCACAAGCCTATTTGTACTGTGTTCCAGTGGTGGGTTCCTACTGGTTCAGACTGGTTTGGCTGAACCAGTAGTGATTTAGTGGCCTGGGTTGCTGGAACCAGCAACAACCCAGGCCTGCCGTGCCCCTGAACTGGTTCTCTGGGCGCTGCCATAGGCGGTGCCATCTTGTTTTTTGCTTCTGTGCATGCAGAACTATTTTTATTGTACTGTGCCTGCATGCGCAGCGTGCATCAAGTATGCCTGCATGTGCAAAGCACACACACACGCTCACGAGCAAACCGGCAGACTGCCGGAACCCATCCGTGCTGTGTTCCGTATCTACTGTAATCTCTGAACTATCTTCAGGGCAGTCTCATGCATAACATATGACAATCATTTAATGTGAATATAACCAAGGCATGGGACATCATGGCAAACTGATTTCAGGTATAAATATAGGCAAGACTCAGTTGAGCTTCCTAGACATATCCATTCATGTGTCTTGGCAATAGTATGGAAGTGGATTGCTGATGCCTTCTTCTGGAATGTTTTTGAGTAACCCTAATCTTGTCTAGACAGTTATATACAGTATTTCTCAATGATCACTCATTTAAATACTACCCAAGTCTGGCTCTGCTTATGTTTTCACAATCAGCCCTGATCAGCTGTTGCTGCTGCTGTCTACTCAAGACCTTCCAGATATACATTTAGCCATTTCAGACATTAGTTCCTCAAAAAGAATGATATTTATTTATTTGAATACCTGGAGATAGTGTAGGAAGTTAAAACCCAGCCCTCTGCTAGAAAACTGAATTAACCTGGGAAATATTAAGAAGGCAGAATATTATATTTCCCTGGATGTGAAAAGGGAGAAACCTGTTTTTAAAGACAAAGTAGCTCTCTGCAGCTTCCTGCCTCGCCTCCCCACTTTGTCAATGAGCCACTAAACCTGAGCTAGTTTACTTTACATAATAAAGGTAGGATTAGCCTTCTACAGAAACTCACCACATGACATCTGGGAACTCAACCAAACTTAGACTCAAAACACAGCCTAGAGAGTTGCCCTTGCATGACCTCATGGGAGTCTGACAACCAATCAGAATACATTTCTTACACAGGAACAGGAAACAGGAGTATTAAAAACCCAGCAAGTTCTTCTCTCTCTCTTTCTTCTTTACCGAACATTTGGAAGCATGTGACCCCCCCTTTTCTGTTCAGGACCTCAAGCCATGTGGTCCTGCCCACCATTAAACCATCTTTCCAAGCAGCCTCCATTCTTCCAGTGTCTTTTTCCCCACTTGGAGCTGAACCTAGAAAGACATTTCTTCTAACAATTGCTTATATCCATGCTTATGTACAACCAAGATTCAAATAAGAAGATGTAGTGGCTCTTGGCAATTAAATGAGGAAATTGCTGCAGGTTTCTTGGCAGCATTTTCAGAAGTGATTTTTCCACTGCCTTCTCCTTATAACTGCGAGAAAGTGACTGGCCAAAAACATCCAGTTGGCTTAAAGCAAGATAAGAGCTCAGATTGACCCATGCCTAGTCCAATAAACCAAACAGACTCTCGTTATATGACGTGTTACAAAACAGATGAATAACATTTGGAGTTATATTCATTTTATAGGTTTCTCTTGCATTTTTTTTGCCTATCACATAAAAAACACCTTAAATCATTTGTTCCTCTTCATGTTTTCTACCATTCTACCATTCTAACTGAACTTAAACTTCAGGCCAATATTTAAGCTAAGTGCTTAACTTAATTTTATTCCAAAACAGGTTTGCAGAGCAGGCAGTATTTGTTCTCTTCTGTTTATTTGCCATCCTGCTATTCTCCAGAGATCCAAAATTCATCACAGGTTGGGCAAGCTTATTCAAACCAGGGTAAGTCGTTTCTTTTAGTTTTTATTCAGGTAAATAGGAGATTTAGGAATTCTGTCCTATATTGAATGGAAAAATTGACCAAATGTTCATATAGGTATATGATGCCAAATTTTGATCATGTTTTAGTTGAAGTTCCTAGATCTACCTTCTTAGCTGTGTCTGTTGCAGAAAGATAGAAATTATATCCATAGGGCACCATGTTAGTGAAAACTCTCATATTTCATGTATCAGGGGAAAAGGTCATAAGTTTTTCTTTTTTTTTTACTTCCTCTTAGATAATGGTTCTATTGTAGAACACATACTTTACATGAAAATTAAATACCTAATATATCCAATTAAATATCTAGAGTGTTTAATTGTCTAAAAGTTTGAAGAACTTAAGGTCTCAGAGTAAATGGTGACAAACGACCACAATTCATATTTGCAGGGAGGGTAATTTTCAATTTTCATCATGCACTTGGACAGGACCATGATTTGATGTTCACCTGACTTTTGAAAAAGCTGTTTTTGTTTTTATTTTTTCAATGTTTTAAAAGATGTGCTAAGCCTAACTCAGAGGTCCAACTTCATCCCTGTGTTGAAACAGTTGCATTGGATATACAGTATCTGACTCTGAAATTCTTTGGCCTGTAGCTGGTGTATTTCACCATTTGCCTTGAATCTCTTCATTTTAGAATATGTTTATTTCAATTATTGTACCCTATAATTTGTCAGTTATCAATAATCACTCAATGATTAAAAAATAGTCTTGATTTAAAAAAATAAAGGCTATTTCTCATGCTTTCTCAAATTTGTAATTTTGTAATTTCCAATTAATTTTCTAATTTAGGGCAGTAATTTGCAGGGTTTTTAAAAAATAATTATAAACTGTAAATGTTCATGAAACCTGACATAAAAACTTATTCTTCGATAAAATCTGGTTCGCTTATGTAGAATCCTCTTTCCATTTCTGTTAGGTTTGTCTCAGACGCAGTTACTGGAATCACAATAGTGACAATACTGTTCTTCTTCCCAGCGAAAAAGCCATCTCTTAAATGGTGGTTTGATCTAAAAGGTAAATTGCTGGTTTACCGAAGTTTGTTCTCAGTTGTCAGATTTTTTAAATTCTCTCTAGAGCAGTTGTTCTCAACCTGTGGGTCGGGACCCCTTTGAGGGGGATAGAACGACCCTTTCACAGGGGTCGCCTAAGACCATCGGAAAACACATATTTTTGATGGTCTTAGGAACCGAGACACCAATTT